TCATGAGCCAAAAGTTCTGAACGTTCAAATGAACAAAATATTTTTTTAAATCTATAAATATTAAAAATTATAATGTTAATGTAAAATAAAACAGTAAATTAAACAAATATTAAATTAATAACTTCTTTTTAGATATTTAAAACAATATTTTGTAATAAAATTTATACTTAAAGAAGTTACAAAAAAAATTTTGTTCATTTGAACGTTCAAAACTTTTCGTTCATTATATATATCTGCACCCAGAGAAATGTTTTATTTGAACCATAAATATAATATATTTGGTTTAAATAAACGTATTATTGTCTCACAGCCTACTAGTCTATTTATTTAGCGTAAATAAAATTTTTTATTTAAATTAAATAAAAATTTATTTAAATCAAATGAAAATTTATTTGAATCAAATAAATATTTATTAGGCTGTGAGACAAATATATCATTTCTTTGCGGGTGTGATGGGAATTTTTAATTGTTTCTATTATAAATAAATAATTGAAATTTTATCAATAATAATTTATTGATAATATATATATATATATATATATATATATATATATATATATATATATATATATATATATATATATATATATATATATATATATATATATATATATATATATATATATATATATATATTATAAAATGCGTACGGTATACATAATCAATTTTCATATATGTCATTTGTATCATTTCATAAATCACAAATTTCTATTGGATTCTAATTTTGACAGCAAATATCGCAAACACGCTACAAAAGTTAATTATAACATTAATTTGTCAACTATCAAATTAGACGTCCTAAATAATCGAATATATATCCTGTATTATATACAACAAAATTTTATTTCAAACGATTTATTTATTTTTCAAATTTGTTTTATTTTCAAAATATTATACAAATATTATTATATTATATACAATACATTATTTAAAATTTTTTTAGAAAAAAAAGATTAAATTTACATTTTTTAATTTTATATTGAATTTTATATATTATATAATTAATAATTAAATAATTATTTGCTCAAAAAAAAATTAGTTATTAATACATTAAATTTAATATTATATATTTCATTTAATATTTATAAAAAAAATGTTTATCTAATTTTATTATATTATTTATATTATAAAAATCTTATAAAAGTGTGTGCGTGAAGGAAAGGGGAAATAATCTGAAACGGTCGTCCCTGCATTTGCAGTTCATTCACACGAACCGTGTGTCTCGCTAAATATAATATGGCGGTGTGGCCCCTTGCCCCCCCCCACTCCACTATATACCTCAATGCCCCCTAATCCAACGCCCCTGTGATTACGCGTCATCCTCCCCCATAACTTCCCCCTCTCTCTTCATTTTCGTCCTTACGCCCACAATTGCATATATGTATGTATAAAATGCATATAGAGGCCAATGCACAAATTAAGTGACGCGCGGTATATATATATATATTTACAAGAGAGCACACGTAAAATAACTACTTCTAATTCCAAACAGACACGTGTGTTTTGAACTTGAAAGTTACTATATACTTCCATAGATTCTCACATGGGCTTTCGTCCTTGAATTTTACCCCCTGAAGCCCTATTTGATTTACTCATCTTGAAACTTTTATCCCTCTTTTATCTTTTTTTCAAATATTGTTAAAAATTATTTTTTTGAAATACAAAATAAAAATTAATAGAGGCCTTCTCATTGCAAAATTATTATATATTGATTGTTTTAACAAGAAAATTGAAAATATTAATTTTTAGATAATTTTTTTCAATTGCCATGTTTTGGCCAAGTTGATAAATTTTAATTTATAAATTAATAAGTACGGTGTAGCTATATATTTATTATTGATATTGAATATTATTTAAATTAAAGCATTGATGAAAATTAGTTTTCTATATTCAGCCTAGACAGAGCCAAGATTAGTAAAATATAATTTTTTTATACCTCTAAAATATCAGTAATAAGTTTTTTGATATAAATTTTATTCAGAAATACGAGAAATATATTAAAACAGTTGGTAAAATTGTAGCCTAGACAGAGCCAGAATTGATGAAAAATATAATTTTTTATACTACACTATCGGTATTATAATAGATTTATATTAAAAAATGCAGGAACAATTTTAAAAAAGGCTTTGAAATTATACGCCAAGACGCAGCCTAGACAGAGCCAGGATTAGTAAAATATAATTTTTTTTATATCTAAAATATCAGTAATAAGTTTTGATACAAATTTCATTGAGAAATGTTAGAAATATATTAAAAGAATTGGTGAAATTGAACGCCAATATGTAGCCTAGTTATAGCCTGTATTGATAAAATATTATATTTTAATATTAAAACATCAGTAATGTAATAATTTCCACTAAAATTTAATTCAGAAATGCGGGAAACAAAAAACAATTAGTAAAATTGTCCACCAATACGTAGCCTAGACAGAGCCAGAATTGACAAAAAAAAATAATTTTTTATACTGAAATAATAGAATTGTACATAAAAATTTTATTTAAAAATGCCGGGAAAGTAAAAAAGTTCTTAAAATTGCACGCCAAGACGTAGTCTAGACATAGCCAGGATTGATAAAATATAATTTTTTACACTGAAATATCAACAATAGAATGTTTTTGATACAAATTTTATTTAGAATTGCAAGAAATATTTTTAAAAAAAATCGGTAAAATTGTACGCCAAGACGGAGCCAAGATAGATAAAATACAATTTTTTTTTATACTTAAAAACAGTAATACTTTCAGTTTCAGCATTTTATCAACTTTGATACAAAATTTCATTCAGAAAAGCAAGAAAAAAGTTATTAAACTTTTACGCCAAGGCGTAGCCTAGATATAGCCATGATTAATAAAATATAATTTTCTTTATAATAAATTATCAATATTGTAATTATTTTGATTGAATTTTTATTAAAAAATGCGGTAAAAATTTTAAAAAGTTCTTAAAATTGTGCGCCAAGTCGTAGCCTAGACACAGCCAGAATTTATAAAATATGTATTTTAATTGAGATATTAGGTATTGTACACAGTTTCGATAAAAATTTTATTTAAAATTGCCAGGAAAGTAAAATTTTTTTAAAAATTGTACGCCAAGACGTAGCCTAGACACAGCCCGTATTGACAATATATTTTATACAAATATATTATTTATAACTCATTTAGTTTATTAAAATTTTCTCATAGGCGATGGAAAATACTGAAAAATTGTATATACATAAAATGTCTTTTTATAAAAATTGTTAGCCAGATTCCAGCCTAGATAATGCCAGGATTCACATCATTTTTATATTAATACACCAATTAATCATATTTTTCATTAAAATTACATGCAGGGAATTAAAAATATAATTACAAAAAAATTGTAATATTTTACATTGTGCAAACTTGGATGCCAGTTCACAGCCAATATTGTGCCATAATTCACATAATTAACCTTGAAATTTTAATCAACTAATTTTTATATTAAAAAAAAAAGAAAAAAATAATTTTTTTTTCGCAAAAATTTCTTTTATCTCAAATTTCTTTTAAATTTTAATTGTTTCTTTTTTTGCATTTCATCATCTTTTTTTTTTAAACCCATATAATATAATTCTCTCTCTCTCTCTCTCAATATAAGCAAAAGCTCTATTCTTGCACACACGCGTTTATCTTCGTTAAAATAATACGTGCAGTTTCTGGACCGAATCGTGCGGCCCTTTAGTCGAAACCGGTTAAGGGTTCCTGTTCCACGAGATACTTTTTACTGATTCTCTCTCGTTTCCCCGGCAACAGATTGTCAAAATTTAGCGCAATGAACCGTGTCATACTGCGCGTGTATATTGCAATTTTACGGAAGCTATTATATATATACACACACGTATATATATATATATATATATATATATATATATATATATATATATATATATATATTTGACAAAAATTAATTTTTTTTTTACATTCAGTTTCGGTGAATTAAAAGAATTACAGAAAATACAAAATTTTTAGCTCTATTTTTTTCTTTCTTTTTTTTCCACATATTTCGCTGACATTTACGATTCACTTTCTACGCTATAATTATTTTATTGGAAACTCATTTTCGTGTTTTAATTTTTTTTTTTCTTTTAAAGAGGAAGTAAATTTAATTTTATAGCCAATTAATAAAGGGGTAATTCGGTTCATAGCAATTAAATATATAAATTGATGACACACACGTGAACACACTTTTCTTTTGAGGGAATTTTTTTTTTTTTTTTTTTTTTATAGATTTTAGTAAATAATTTCTGCCTCTAATTTTTTTTTGTGCTATTTTTTTCTTTGTTATAATTATATAATTATTGTCAATCGGTATCATAATTACTATATAATTAATTATTTATTTATAATTTATTTATAATTTATTTAATTCTTATATTATTAATTATAATTATATTTAATTAAATATTATTCTTATAATATTATAATTAATTATATTTGTTTACTTATACATACTATTAATTAATTAAATATTAAATAATTGGTATTCAATATTATTTTAAAAATGAACTGGAAATTTCCTCAACCACGCGGAGATTCGAACCCTAACTAATATGTTTCAGCGACACTTTAATTCCCGCGGCTACTTCTTAATTTGAAAATTTTCTTTATAAATAATTATTATAAACGTAGCATTATAATTACTATATATTTATTATTAATTTATTATTGTTAGAATACTATTTATTATAAATGTATTATTATTATTATTATAATTATTATTATTATTAAATTATTATTTATTATTAATTTCTCTATTAGTTATTAATAAATACTAATTATATTTACATTAAATATGAAATTAAAACGAGCAACTGTTATAGCCGCTATATCTTAAATTAAAAATTTCGCCCAACCACGGGGATTCGAACCTCAAAGTATTTTGAGCGAAAATACGACGCTTTAATCCACGCGGCTATTTTGCAACTTGAAATTAAATTCTATTAAATATAATTTCTTCCCTTTAATATCTTTATTATTGAATCATTTTTGTATTTTTTTTTTTTTTTTTTTTTTTTTTTTTTTTTTTTTTTTTTTTAGTATTAGTATATTTTTAGTATTACGTTTTTTTTAGTACAGTATTTAATTAAAAATTAGTTAATAAAAATTAAATAATAAATTAAAAAAATAATAAGTATTAAATTAAGTAGAATTTTTTTTGAATTTTTAAAATTAAATTTTTTTTTGAAAACTAATTTTTTTGTTTTTTTTACTTTTAATTTCCAAGATTGAAGATTTATAACAGTCATATATAATAAATAAATATAAGATAAATGCTTGATTAAGATCGTGTGAAGAATCATAAAGGGAAACAGTTGTAGATAAAAGGACATAATTGTTTAATTGGTGTATTAAATTTGTTTCTGTGGTCACTCCCCCCCCACTCCTTTTTTTCTCTCTCCTGTATGTGTGATTAAATCGATTTATATGAGGTGCGCGCGAATATATATATATATATATATATATAAATGTTAGTTTTCTCTCTCTCTCTCTCTCACTCACTCTCTCGGCATATCCAACTGATGTCTAATCGGTCAATTGGAAACGGGGCCCTTATCCCTTTGGGCCACGGGGAGAGCCTGCAGAGGCCATTAAACTGTCTACGAACGAAGAGGCCGGGGGGATTTTTACAACGCCCAGGCCTACCTACTCCCCCTTTTATACTCTTATATTCTTTTTGCTCCTCTTCTTGCTTTCTTGTAGGATTCTCCTTCTCTTTTTTTTTCTTTTCTTTTTTTTTCTTCTTTACTCGGATCTCTCTCGACGACGACATTGGCGTCAAGTCAAGGGGACCCCTGCAATATAACCCAACCCTATTATATTTCACTGGTTGGAAAATGTCCCATTGTTTTATATATATATATACACGAACTGTATGTATGTACAATATAAGCGACAAATATTCTTCTAAAAAGATGAGAGAAAAAGACAAAAATGAATCATCTTTTTATGATTCTGAATCACGTACGCAAAAAAAAAAACATTATATTCACTATACCTTCAATTTTGAGGTTATGTTCGTTTTCAAACTGTTTTTGAGAATATGATCTTGATTTTTGAGGTTATGGTGAACTTTAAGGTTATATTCGTCTTTAAACTCTACGCCAACTTCACAAGGGTTATGTTTTTTGATAATATGATCTTGATTTTTGAGGTTATGGTGAACTTTAAGGTTATGTTCGTCTTTAAGCTATAATAACTATAACTCTTTAAACTATATTATACAAAAAAAATCGTAGTTATCAATTTATTAATAATAATAATAATGTAAATTTATTAAATAAATATATAGAAATTACGTAACAGAAAATATAAATTTTTATTATTACTTTTTTATTATTATTCTTTTATTTTGATTATTATTAATTAAGTTATTAATTAATTATTTCTCTTAATTATTTTTTAATAATTATTTTTTTAGGTTATTATTATTACACGGAGAGAAATTTATGCTACTGGGTAACATAATGATGTTAAGGGCAACCATATTTAGTGCTAAATATACAGACAGCGATAAAGATTGTAGTATTTACTATCAGATGATTATAGAAATTTGATTGTACAATTTACAATCTTTGATGTTAAAAATTTTATACGATCTCTTTACGTTCTCGAGTGGCAAATATACACGAACCTAACCTCGCTTTTTTTGTAAACTTAAATAATTTCATTTTATTTTAATAAGACATTTCGATAAGAATTTAAACTTTAAACTTTTTACATAAAAAAGAGTATGTCTATTTTTTCACTCCGTCTATAAAAAGGACTTGCTTAAACACAAATATATTTATCAAACGGTATATTTTTTTCACAGAGTCAATTGAATTTGTATTATTTTACTAATTTTTAAGTTTAAAAAAGTAAGAAAAAATATGAAAAAATTTGTTTTCCAAAAAAAATTTCAATAAACACATGTACATTTATACAAACGAAAAAAAAACTTACTTGATTTTTGTAATCTTGAAATTTTTTAAAAAATTTTAAGCGAGGTTCTGGTTTTGGTATAATGAGTGATATTGTATCATTGTCCAGTAAGTAAAACGATTCTTCATCAATTTCACCGTCTAAACAACGCAAAATTGTTTTGAGGTTATAAACACGTTCACACTTCAGTCTTCGCTAATTCAATCAAAATAATAAACCTACCTCCAAAAGATGGAATCAAAGATTCCATATTCAACGACATTAATAAATTTTTAACAAACTCGTCCATTTTTTTATTCACAACTTTTTTCACTATATATAAACACGTGCGTGAAAACACAAGGACCGCAATTGAATAGGCGAAGTATACACCACAATCAGCGCATGCGCTCACATTTAATTTTTACAATATTTGATAGTAGTGACTACAATCCAAAAGCTAACATATTTTACGTCTTTGGGTAACATCTTGGATAGTAAAATGTTGATAGTAGATTCTTGTCAGTAACACAATGATAGTACCTTGTACAATCTTTCTTTTTACTATCAAATTCTTACTATCCATTTCTCTCAGTGTACTATTATTTGTATTTAGATTATTATTATATTATTTATAATCATTATTTTAATTTTTATTACCATTGTCCTATTGTTAATTGACTTTAAAAAAAATTGTCAATTTCTTATCATCTGCAGTTTCGTAATATTGGAAAATTTTTGAAAAGTCATACTTAATGGATTATATATATGAGAGTTACATGTATACCTTTTTGTATAATATAATTAAAACAAATGAATCTGAAACTGACACGATTGCTCTAATTAATTATATAGAATATATGTTTTTGATATCTCTTTATATATAATATATATACAACCACATTTTTATTATATATTGTATATAAAAATTAATATTCCAATTTAATGCGATTAAAATTTTTAATATATATAAATCGTATTTTTCTCTACTTAATTTATTTATTTTAAATTTATTTTCAATTTATTATAAAATTATTATATTTATTAGAATTTTTTTGTTTAATCGAATTTTAATCGGAATATTTTTACCTCTTCAATTGTTATTAAAATTAATTTATTAAATAAAATAAATTAATAAACAAAATACAACAATATTTAACAATTATTTATTTTTTCAGATGCCACGAGAGAAAAGGGGGGAGGGAAGGTGCAAAGAACGAGAGGACGTTTCGCAGGATTTAAATATATATAAATATATATTTATATATGGAATAACGACAAATAACGAACTCAAATTTCGTTCAGCTACTTGATGACACTAACCCGTAGATCCGAACTTGTGGGCTTTTTTATATGCATACCGCAAGCTCCTATCTACCGGTACATGTAGTCAGGCCGGCGTTAAGTAATCGACAAAAATCATCAAAAAACAAAAAAAAAAATGTATTGCGACAACGTTATCATTCTTCCGGTATCAACAACGATACACTCACTTTTTTTTATAATTATCGAGAACTCAGAACAGAAATTTTTTTTTTTGTAAATCTGTATATAAAATAAAAACAAAATTATTATTTCTTTCTTCAAGTTTTATAAAATTCTTGAACGTTTGCAATTTTTTTTTTATTTTATTTTTGCTAACGTTGCGCGTTATATAGTTGTGACTTCCCTTTTAATGTTCGACGTCAGTTATAAAATTACTCTATACCATACGTAGATGGTTAAAAAAATTAACAAGATGGAAAAAAATTTTTAAAACAAGAATTTTTGTTTGAAAATGCTAATATAAAAAATTACCGACACAGAAATCTACCTTACCGACTGATGGTACAACAGATTTTTTGAAAACTGAAAATATAAAAAATTACCGACATAGTAATCTACGTTACCGACTGATGGTAAAACAGGTTTTTAAAAATGAAAATATAAAAAATACCGACATAGAAATCTACATTACCGACTGATGGTCGAACAGATTTTTTGAAAAATGAAAATATAAAAAATTACCGACATAGAAATTTACCTTGCCGACTGATGGTAAAACAGGAGTTTGAAAAATAAAAATATAAAATTTATCGACATAGAAATCTACCTTACCGACTGATGGCAAAGAATTTTTATGAAAAATGAATATATAAAAAATTACCGAAACAGAAATCTACCTTACCGACTGATGGTAAAACAGATGTTTTGGAAAATGAAAATATAAAAATTACTGACATAGGAATCTACCTTACCGACTGATGATAATTACCGACTGATGGTAAAACAGTTTCGAAAAATTACAAAATTATCATCAGTCGGTAATTACCATCAGTCGGTAAAGTAGATTCCTATGTCGGTAATTTTTTATATTTTCATTTTTCAAAAACTGTTTTGCTATCAGTCGGCAAGGTAGATTTCTATGTCGGTAATTTTTTATATTTTCATTTTTCAAAAAATCTGTTCGACCATCAGTCGGTAAGGTACATTTCTGTGTCGGTAATTTTTTATATTTTTATTTTTCAAAAATTTTCTTTACCAACAGTCGGTAAAGTAGATTTCTGTGTCGGTAATTTTTTACATTTTCATTTTTCAAAAAATCTGTTTTACTATCAGTCGGTAAAGTAGATTTCTTTGTCTGTTATTTTTTATATTTTTATTTTTCAAAAAACCTGTTTTACCATCAGTCGGTAAGGTAAATTTCTATGTCGGTAATTTTTGATATCTTCATTGTTCAAAAAATCTGTTAATTTCGTTAATTCGTTTTATTAATTAGTTGCTTAGTATTAAATATTATAAATAAATAAATATTAAGCAAGTAAACTAATTAATAAAAAATTTTAATTCATTATAATTTTTTAATTAGAGATAAGAAAAAAAAGAAAGAACTGCGGTACATTTATTAATATGTATTTTAGAATATAAGACCTATAATGAAGTGAGCGAAGAAGAAAGCAAAGAAAAAAAAAAATTTTTTTTCTTTTTAGAAGAAGCTCTAAAGAATCTAGCGGCGACGCCTGGGTGAGGTAGTAGGTTGTATAGTAGGGAATGTAAATTCGCAAATATGAAGTCCACTGTACAACTTGCTAACTTTCCCGGTCGTCGGCGCCTCGGCGTTGGACTATTGAACACTGATCAGCATTCATCTTTTTCAGATTTAATAATAATAGGCTAATATACATATAGATAAAGGAATAAATTTTCGTCGGAGACAAAAAATAATTTTTTCAAAAAGAAATGAGAAAAATTATATAAAATATATATGTTTCAAATTTATATTGCAACATTTTTATATTGTGCTCTTTTTATATATACACAGACTTTTTTTTTTATCAATAAATTGATAATCAATGTTGACATGAAAAAGAAATATGTCCTGTAAAGCTTGGTTTGCAATTAAATCTGCTTCGTTTGCGTTTATTTTTAATTTACGGTATTGTAATAATTTAATTGATTTTTTCAGTAATAAGATGTCGATAATTTTCTATAAATGTAAATTATATTAATAGCTTAAAAGCTTGGTTTGCAATTAAATCTGTTTCGTTTGCGTTTATTTTTAATTTACGGTATTGTAATAATTTAATTGATTTTTTCAGTAATAAGATGTCGATAATTTTCTATAAATGTAAATTATATTAATATAATATTATATTATAATTTATAAATTATTGACATTTTTTTAATAAACTGACAAAGAAATTTTTTTTTTCAAAAATTCGCTTTTTGAATACTTATTTTGTACGAAAAGAAAAAATTCATACAAAAAAATATTTATATCAAATAATTATTTATAATTATAATATTCGAATAAATATAATTATTTAAATCATAGAAATTATTGGTTTAAATAAATATTTATAATTAAAAATAATCGAATAAATAAATTATTTGAATCAATTATTTCAATATCATGAAATTTAGTTATTCAAATAAATATTTATTTTGACAACAGTGATTGTTTGAGTTAAAAATAATTTCTTTTCAGTGTAGGAATAATTTTTTTTTTTTTTCAATTTTCAACGAAAAATAATTTTGTCAATCAAGAATTGCTTTTGAAAAAAATCTCGTTCAAAATTTAATTAACATATAAAAATAATTAAAATTTTAATTGATTTAATTATAATTGAAAATTGATACATAAAAATGGCAAATTTGGAAAAAATTTATGTCAATTTGGAAAATTCTGTGAAAATTCACAAAAAAAAAAAATAATTCCAGAGAAATAAAAATTCATTGTCATTTGGTAAAATTATAAATATCAAAAGAACGCAATTTTGATTACAAAAAAAAAAAAAAAAAAAAAAATTTGCGGTGAAATATATCTCTAACATTGTATATATTTGTTATTTATTACTATTTGATTTTGAAATAGAGTATTTTATCTATTCAGAGAATGGGAATTTACTCTCTATGAGGCAAAATGAAAATGAAATGAGAGAGTGAGTGTAACATATATATATATATAAATTTGCAAAGTAAGAGAGAGAGAGAGAGAGAGAGAGAAATACAGAGAGCGGAAAGGTGTGCTTTGTGGAGAATGTAAAAGGGAAATTGAGTAAAAGTGGCGGAAGTGCTGAGCAGAGAGAAAAGGGCAATATGGCAGGCGGGCAAAATACAAAGCCTGCCGCGTCGCCGGTTCCCTGAGACCCTAACTTGTGACGTCGCGTCCGATATCTCACAGGCTAGATTCTCTGGTATTGGCGATGAGAAGCTGTCTTTTGTCAATCAAAAGTCAGTCCTTCAACATCAAATTGAGAAAAAAGATATAAAAAAAACAAACAAAAAAAGAAATACAGAAAAAAAGGAAATGTTATCTCGCCCTATTTTATAGACAAAAAAAAAAAAACAGTTGCATTGACCTCCTCTCAAAGGATCAGAATCTTTGGATTTAGAGGATTTTTTTCTACCCTTCCCATCATATATACTTAGAGATAAGAATTTAATGACGATACTCTAAATTATATTACCTTCAATTTCTTATCTCTTAAAAGAAGAATTGGACCAAAAGTTAGTCTTCTTTTTGTTTTTTATAAAAAAATATTTTCAATCATTAAAAATTTCATTTAAAATAAAATCGACGTTTTCTCACAAAATGTAGAAAACAATTTTCATAATATATTTAAATTATTTAATAATAATTTATTAAAAATAAATAATTAATATTATTAAAAATATACAATTTGCTTATTGTTAAAAATTTACTTGTTTTCAAAAATAATTATCTATAATTTTTATTGAGAAATTTTTTTTATTAAAAACAAAAAAAAATATTCAGTTCAATTCTTCCTTAATTAATTGCCGAAGAAAAAATCAATTTCGTCTTTAAATCAACAAAAATAACTTTTTTTTTTTAATTTTCAATTTAATTTTCGAGTTTATATTCCGCTTGTATGTTGATGTGCAGAATAAATTTTTAAGCCCTGTAATTTCGCCTACGATCTGTCACTTCGCGTTTGTACGTAACTATAATTATCTGAATTGCTGTTCTAAACGTTGTGTGTATATAAAATTATATCTTCAATCTGGCAAATTTATAGGCGACATCGAAATATTCGATTTTTTGTATTCATTTTTTTTTTTTTTTTTTTGCAAAATGAATCAAATTTTTCATGTTATATATCTGTAAATATTTAATGTAAATTAAATTATTATTGAAGAAACAGTCAATTTTTTTTTACGAAACATATTTCTAAAAATTAAGATTATAATAAATCAATTAAAATAATTTATAATCTTTGTTAATTTTTTAATTCCTATATCGATTAATTGATTCCATAATTTTTGTATTTTCCTAATTTCGAAAACAAAATAAATTTTAAAGGCCTTGTTCTCGCTTTTTTTTTTTGCAACACTATTAAAATTCCAAACCTTTAAAATATTGGTTAATAAAAATTTTTCCCCTTCAATGATTGTATTTTATTTTTATAAAAATACAGAGTAAGTATTTCTCCTTTTTCCTCAATAACAACTATAACTTTTTATTACCCTTTTTTAAAAACTCTCGTAGAAATATAAGTTAGTATGTATATATATATATATATATGTATCAAAGTTTTACATATTTGAAAGCTTGATTTCTATCTTTTTAGTAAATAAAGTGAATTTATTAATAATTACTAATTATTAATCAACAATCTCACTTTTTTTTTGTTGATTAATTAATAATTGGTTGACAATATTTTTTTGTCCTTGTAATTTTTCAAAAACGTCAAATACATAAAAAAAAAGAACAAGAGCTCTTTTTTTTGTGAAATTTTATACAACTATAAAATACCCATTTAAAAAAAAAAACAGTTAACTAAAACATTAAATCTTAAGAACTATTTTTTATGCTTTCTTTTTTGTTCAAAAGAAAAAAAATTAATTGAGAAAAAAAATTAAAAAAAAAAAAATTTATTTACATGAAAAAAAAAAGAATTAAAAATTTAAGGCAAAAATTTTTTTAAAATTGAAAATTTTCATTATAATACCTTCCAGCGCCTTCGGTGACAAGTCTACTTAAATCTTCAGCTGAATAACCCAATAAATCTTTTAAGTCACAAACAAATTTATAAACAAATCGTTTACCATGTACCTTTGATATCATATCACCATCATAATAATAACGTAGTGCTCTACTTAATTTTTCATAATTCATTGTTGGCTTATTTTTCCTTTTACCCCATAATTGTGCAACAATTTCCGGTTGACTTAATTTAAATTCACCTTCAGTTCCAACCCAATGTATTACACCAACATGTTCACGATCAGTCAATAATTCCAATAAAAATTGCCATAATTGAATTTGACCACTATTAACACTTCGACTTGAACTTGCCAATGTTATTGGCGATTCTGTATTATTTGTAATTGGCATATTATAAACACGTGACACTTGATTTGTAAAATTTCGTGATTTCACTGGTTTTTGTTGTTTTACTTTTGGTATTACTTCCAAATTAACTTCAGGCGATGATGGTGGATCATTTTGTACGACAGCTGCAAAAAAAAAAATTTTTTTAAATTACATTTTTGAAAAATAAAAAGCAAATTGTAAACAAAATATAACAAAAATTCTAATTACCAACAAATTTGCATTTTCTCAATAATTCTAAATGTGTCCAAAATACTTCTCCTGGATCGGTTGGTACTTTTGTTTTAAATTCATCGTGAGTTAAATTACAAAGTTGTGCACCGCTTATATTCCAATCGGCCAATTTTAAAGAGGGTAAATTAAATTGTCTCACTGCCCATTGAAGCCAGTGTTTCACTTGCGTTTGTGTCCAATCTCTTGGATCGGAAGGAATTTTTAATCTCTCCTGTAAAAAAAAATAATTGGAATATATTTGAAACTAGTGCAAAAAAATTGAAAATATAAAAAAAAAATTCAAATTAGCACCTGTTCTTTTTTATACTGATGATCAATTGTCCATTTAATGACATTACTTTTTATATCCGACACTGGTGTAGTGGAAGCTGTAAAAGAATATTTCAAAATTAATCATAAAATTTTAACAATCATTCTCTAAAAACAATTATACATACGACTGTGATCGACTAATTCCACATAATCATCGGCTGGTTTTAAAACATCAACAATATTAATACGTCGCTGTGCAAATCTAATTTGTACATTAACTTGCACTAGACCTTCACCTTGAACGCATTGATCCACCAAATTTTTATGACACTCCAACTAGTTCGAAAAAAAAAAGAATTCAAATAGAAAAATTCATTGCAGTAAAAAAAAAAATCAATTTTAATAAATTACCATTTGAGTGTCTTGCAACCAAAAGGAAAAATCAGTTAAATCTTCACCGAGTCTTTCCTCCAATAAACTTTTAAGCCTCGATAATGGTTCTCTTATATCCATGTGTTGCATTAAAATACCATCATTTCCCTCATCACCATTTGTTGCACCCTCTAATGTAAAACTTGGTTCCACTTCTAAATCGGAACTCTCCTGTTGTAATTGTGCCATTATATCATCATCTTGCGATAACATTGCTTCAGGTTCCATTTTGATACGTTTAATCATCGCATAATCCGAATCATCGTCCATATCGAAACTATTTTTTTTTTTTGTTTATTTCAAAAAATAATTTAATTCAAAAATTAAAATTACTATTTTAAACGTACAAATTAGTAAACTATTAGTTTAAAAATATCCGCGACGTTGTTGACAATTTCAAAACAAATAACAAAAGAAACATAACAAATTCTAACCTGTCAGAATAGAATGACGATTAATCGCTTCGATTAATTAATTTTACATATAGATTTTAAGAAACATTTCTCGATATTCAAGAAAACAAAGGTAATATTTAATAAAATATCGAAAATACAGTATAACGATTGTAACAGAAAAAATTGAGGTTAAACTGAAAATAGAACACACATGCTCTTGGTGAAAAAAAAAGACAACTTTACCTCGGTACTGAAAATTTTCTCGACGCCACTCGATCCATGAAAGTTATCTTTTACACTAATAACATATGTATAATTAATAAATTGAGGGGAAAAATTTGCTTTTTTAATTATATTTATGATATCACAACTTTTGATAAAGCACTGACAATTTGGAGTAAATCACTAGTGCGCATGCTCGTTAATATTAGCAGCGCCATCTGCTAAACATATTCCTCAACTAATATCCAATCAACGAAACTTTATTTGATTGGTCAAAATATTGCCCGGCAACTATTTAAATATTTTCGAAAAAAAAACCAACAACGAGATAAATATATTATAAATATAAAAATAAATATAATAAATAAATATAAAAATAATTAATAGTTGTTCTACAAATAATGTAAGAGATTTCTTTAATTTGTTTTTATTTATTAGTTTTTTGTACTGGACTGTTCAGTATTGTTTTGATGTTCGTTTCGTCAACTGTCAAATGTAATCGAAAGTTTTTTTTTTCATGAAGAAAATTGAAATATATTACTATTTTTGTATTTACTGTTTAGTGATAATAGAAAACATATGTAATTATTATTACCAGTGACAATCAATCAACAATTATGTAAGTAACACTTGGTGAGTAACAATTATTTATAGGTTAAGTTTATTGTTGATTTTTCTTATTGTCAATTACAGATTTTATTAAATTTTAAACACGAATTAATACAAGAAATTATTATTTACAAATAAATATTTAATTTTTTTTTTTTGATAAAATTAACTATTTATTATTATATTTTCACTTATTTACCTAATATATATATATATTCTTTTGCGCATCTTCAAACGAATTATGTGGAGATGAGAAATTATTAATTTCTTTTTGTTATAATTTGATATACATTTAATATTAATATTATTTGAGGAAAAGTACACTATATATTGAAGAAATTTAGTTCTCTTGATTTTTATTCTTCATTCTCTCATTGGGACTTTTGTCATCGTCACTTTCTGATGAACTTTCCGCAGGTATATCAATGCCATGTGTCAATAAATTAGTAATACTTTCAATATCAACTGTGTCGTCTTGTTCTTGAATTTTACGAAGTGCATTTGAAACAATACAAAATTCACCTCGTAATTCACTGACAAGTGCAGTAATTTTTTGTGCATCCGTTAAAACATCAACTGATTGTGTATAAGGATTGTAACGTAAACCAAATGGACGTTGAATTTGATTAGCAAATTCTCTAATAAAAAAAAATATATTGTTTTTAAAATTATTATTTTTATTTATTATTATTATTAATGAATTAATTAATTAATTTTTTTTTATTATAAATAATAAATAAATAATTACTTCTTATTAAATAATTATTAAATAATAAAAATTTATTCAATAAATAAATAATAAATTAAATAATAATAATTAAATAATTTTTAATTAATAATAAATAAATTTATTATTTTTATTTTATTTATTTTGCAAAAAAAAAAAAAAGGAAAATTAATACCTCATTTTTTCTTTTGCCTCTTCAATACTGTCTGTATAGTAATAGGCATTTTGAAATGCAGTTATAATACATTCTTGTTTACAGGTGACTTCCGGATCGAATCGAAAAGTTTTTTCCGGAGCAGTTACCGCGTGTCTTAATTCAGCAACTGATGATAAAAGTCCAGCTCCATAAACACGGAGATTTCCATCTTGTTTACATAAGCCAAATTCGACAGTAAAAAAATATAACTGAAATTTCAAAATTAATTAATTTAATTTAAATGAAATATTGAAAATAATTTTTTCAAACTCACCGTCGCCAATTTATCAATGTCATCATCGGAAGCACCAAGGGAAGCGAGACCGAGTTCTTGTGAAAATTGAGCAAAACTGGGATTTGCCAGCAAAGGCATGTGACCTAAAAGCTCATGACAACAGTCCCTGAAATATATTTTTTTTTAATTTAAAAAAAAAAAATTCAGAAATTAAATTAGAATTTTTTTTTAATTTAATTACTTTTTAGCTAAAATTGAACAAATCTAATTAAAATATTTTGTTTCAGAGAGAAAATTTAACTCACGGCTCCGGAGTGTAAAATGGATCAGACGAATGGCGAATATATTGAGTGCAATGAAATACTCGAAATGCAAGTCCAGATAAAAAGTCTCTTGGTGATAAATAACCAGCAACAGGTCGTAACTGAAATCCCGTCATTCCTGTAAAAAAAAAAAAAAGTCGTGAGTATATTTTTCTATTTTATTGTTTCTTTTTACCATTTTTACTTACTTTTCAAAAAAGAACTCACATCCTGTAATTGAGGAATATTGTCTTCTCTAAAACAAATTAAAAAAAAAAATTATTAAACAAAGAAGGAAATAATTTAATTAATTAATTAATTTTAATTACCTATAGCCGCAATATTTTTCTAATTTCGGCCAATTATCAAGATATTCTTTGCAAGCGAATTTCAAATATAATTGATGTAATTCACGAAATATTACACCCCTGAAAATATAATTTAATAATTAATTTGAAAAAAATTTTTTTTTGAAATTTAATTAAAATACAATAAAATTAAATTATTTATAAAATAGAATTTTTTTTATAGAATGATTCAATTAAAAATTTTTGAAAAATAAAATGAGATTTAATTTTGTTTCAAGTATTTGCAAAGAAAAAAAATGAGTTTAATATAGGAACAACAAACTGCATTAACACTTCGCTTCAAAATGAATCAAATCAGGGCAATTAAGACGTATTCAATACTAGAAAGCATCCTTAATTCTCTTCTATCCACTAAAGGTTGTCGTCTTAAACTCAAGACTTGGTTCAATGCTATAGATTCAATACTAAAGAAGTTGGGAAAAAAGAGAAACACAATTTCTGAGAAAAAAAAAATCTCCAATCAATTGCCTTCGTGATCGAGAAAACACGTTTGAATTTTTTTCAACATTATTATTATCATAGAAACTTTTCTGATAAGAAAAGAAAAAAATTGAAATCATTAAATTTTTATTTCTCGTTTTATAATGCAAAAAAAAAAAAAAAAATAATTGGGAAAAATTTTAAAATAATTAAAATTGAATCGGAAAAAAGGAAATTAATTTTTGTATCACTTACCAAGTTTTTATTTCTTCTTGTGTGTATTGAATTCTCGGAATTGGTTGTCCACTATAAATTTTTTTTTAATTTAATAATTTTATTTTATTTAAATAATATTTACCGTTTTTACAATTATTAATTTTATTTCTCAATTTCTTTTTTGCTAAATAAATATTTTGTAACTTACTGCCTGTAATTATTGGCAATATCAGCAAATTGTTCACGTCGCTTGCGATAAACGGGATCTTTAAAACCCTAAAAATATAAAAAAAAAAGATTATAATTTACTTTTACAAAAATTATAAATATAAAAAGAAATTCAACCCACAGGATGATCAGCATCAAGTTCAGATCCATACATAAGAACTTTTTGAGCATTATCAAGATCGGAAATTTTTCTTGGAAACCATTGCATGTTCACTTCACTAAAATCTGTAAAAGATTTTGGAGAAGAAAAAAAAATTCGCCTTTTTTAGTATTTACGAAATTAAAATATAATAAATAAATTACTAAATAGTGTTAAGAATTTTTTTTAATTAATTTTTTTTTTTTAGCTCACCAAAACTTGGAGCTGCAGAAAGCATTGGAGCATGAGGTGAATGAGGAACGGTTCCAGTTTCTTCATATTGCGAAAGATTTATAGCAGCAACCTCGCGACTCAACATTCTTGTTAATTGTTGCATTTTTTTCGAATCACATTCAACGTCTACTAAAATTTCATATTCCGATCCTCGTCTCGCTGATTTTCTCGATTCAATATGCACCACATTTACACCAAGATCCTTTTTTTAAAAAAAAGAGGAAAATCAGGTAAAAAATATAATTTTTAAAAAGTCAAGATATTTTTAAAATTTTTCGAAAACTAATTTTCGAAACTTAATTTAAATTTTCAAACAAAGACTAATAATGAGGAAAGTGAAAAAATCTTTTATAAGGATTTTTTTTTCGAATTCTAAAAATATTTACTAACTTGAAACACTTGCAAAGCACGAGCCAAGCCACCGACTTGATTCTTCAGCGAGAAGACGACGGAATTTTTCGTCTCATTTCCTTTCTCCAATTGAGTAATCTGCGTAATTAATTTTTTTTGGTTTCATTTTTTGGGCAAAAGAATTTAATTTTTAATTAATAAAAAATATATTTCATCGAAATAACTATTTTTCGAATATTAAACTCACATTTCGCGGTTTATGAATGGGACTGCCTTCTTTAATTGTCCATTCTTCGCCTCTTCTGTACAACCACATTCCCAAAAGACCTTTTCCGGATCCACTCATTTTGAAAAATAATTCTTTTTTTTTCAGGAAAAGAAGAGGAAAAAAGAAAATTTCACTGGATTTTTTTTTGTGCGAAAGAAAAAGGAAATTGAAAATTTTTGAGAAAAATCCCCTGCGTTCAACAATAACAAAAACTAAACCACTTGTTGAAGGATGTGTCGAAGGTAACTGTGTCCATTTCCGTTTGATTTCTAGCTCTTTAAGCTTTCAACCCCTCTACAAGGGTTGTCTTCTTGAATGAAAATCCAAGCTCCGATTGGTTAACATCGCGAGGGTGGAAAAATTCCCATTGGTTCTTTTCGGTGCATCTTCTTCTTTACAATTTCTCCTTCTTTTTTTTGTACTTTTTCAATATTCATTTACTATTTTTCCAACAATTTTTTTCCAAATTTTCCAAAAAACCAGTTTTTAAAATTTTTCCTTTTATTTCTCTTTTTGGGGGAAAAATATTTTCTCAATGGAAATTTTTCAAGAAAAATTAAAAAAATTAGGTAAAATTTAATGAAAAATGAAATTATTAAAAAAATCTCATTTCTGTTTATTTTAAAGAGAAATTTTTTTAGAATCGTGAACAAGACAATATATTTAATCAAAGCTCAATCGCTCCTTGGGTTTTTCTTTATTTTTTCTCCCCCCATTTTTTTTCTCCTCTTTGGCGTAAAATAGATGCAGCACATTACCGAGGCCCATCACTTACTGTTATCACACATATATACGCCAACCACCACCTCCTTGTGACCTCCTTGAATAAAAATCAACCAGGTTTTTATTAACACTAATGGAATCAAATGTTTCCAGACGATTTCTACTGTATATATTTTTGTTCTCTCCTCTTTCACCTCGCTAAAGACTAATGCAAACATTTAACATATTCCATATAAATGTCCAAAAAAATAAATATACAACTTTTACGTCAATGAAAAGAAAATTAATTCTTTTATTTTATTTCTCAAAAATTTCAGAAAAATGAAATTATTTTTTTTTTTTTTGTTAATTAATTTATTGTATGTATTGTAATATAATTTTCAAATATGTAAAATTTAATTTAGAATAATTTTTTTATTAGAAAATAATTTTTTAATTTATTTTGGTTTTTTAGTTTTAGTTTGAAATTAAATTTTTGAAATTTTACAGGATTTGATATGAAATATGATATTTGTGTCCTTAACAAGAGGAATAATCACTTAACGCCCGCATCATTTCCTTCGACTATTTAGCATTTTATATAGAAGTTAAACCCATGGGAGGAACACTAAAGGATGAGTTCCATTTTCCACCACAATGCTCCTTCTTGGTTCAAGAGATTTCTGATGATAGTTACAATCTGTTCCTTCAAACAAAAGACTCGATTTAAACAGCTTTAATTGAAAGCTTCAGGTTTGAATTGCAATTATTTTTCTCTATATTTAATGATTCCGATTAAATATTAAATTCATTTTTCTATTAATATTTTTTATAATTAAACAAATTATTTTAATAACAGAATTTATTATATTTACAATAATATTAATAATAATATTTATAGTAATATTTATAATATTTATAATATTTACAATATTTATAATATTTATAATAATATTTAAAATAATATTAATAATAGTATTCATAATATTTACAATAATTTAAAAATTACATTTAAAAAAACTGAAATAAATTAAAATTGAAAAATAGACTGAAAAAAAAATTTATTTGATTCAAATAATTGGTTACTTTACTATTATCAAATAAATATTTACTTAAATTTAAATATAAATTTAAATAAATATTTACTTAAACCAAATAATTTTGGTAACCAAATAATTGAATCAAATAAATTGTATTTTAACTAATAATTTTTGTATTTGAAATAAATTCAATTTAATTATCTCAATAATTATTTGATAGAAATAAATTTTTATTACAGAGCTGAAGTACGCAACGTTTATGATAAACAATTTTTAAAGAAAAATTTTTTAAAATGAAAAATTCTATAATTTTTTGCCTAAAAAATATTTCTTGAAGTTTTCATTAATTAACAAATTATAAAAAAATATTTATTAGCCAAAAAAATTATAGAATTTTTATTTTAAAAAAATTATTTCTTAAAAAATCGTTTATCATAAACGTTGCGTACTTTAGCTTCGTTTTTTTTTTTTTATAATAATCAAGTAATCGAATTGAATAAAATAAATATCTCTCACTGTAATAATATTTACATTATATTATTTTTATATTTTCATATAAAAATATAATAATAAAATATTAATTTATTAATTGACCAAACGAAAATTAATAATATAAAAAGAAAAAATTTTGCAAAATTTCAAATTCAAAGAAATGTAATTTTTTTGTTTTTTAAATAGTTACAGAGAATTTAAAAGAAGACGAGAATTATTCTAAAGGGTTCTTAAAAATATTCCCTTTTTCATTGACGGATATTCAGTGTCAGTTGACACACAAGATCCTCTCAAGATGAACTCTCGGCACGAATGAAGGAAAAATAAGAACGAGATGGAAAAAAAAGGGAATATGCAAATAATGAGCGATTTTTTTTTCTATACAATAATTTTACTGATAAGAACAAAAATTTATTTTCTCCTATTAAACAAATTTTTGCTCTTTTATTTCAAATTAACTATATTTCTAATTATTTTTTTTAATATATTTTATTTTACAAAAATTATAATATAGAAAATAATTTTTTCTAAAAAGTTAGTTTATTGGAGTGAACATTTGTAAAAAAAAAAAAATTGAAATCTTAGGCCTGATGTAAATAATAATAAATTATTTTTCTTTTTTTGGCTATTTAGTATATAGATATATATATATATCTCTTGGCAAAGGTGGAGGCGGTTTGACGTTGTGGGGTGATATGCGCGCGTCATCCTCACATTCAGAATCAATAGGGGAAAACTCGACGGTAGCGACGCAACGATATTTTCTGCACGTTTTGATCCCCTTCTGGGTTTCGACCTCCACCATCTCCAGGACTTACGGTCATCGCAAGAATGGCCGACATTGAATTCGAAGAATTTCGACGTTATTTCGAAAGACTTCCCCAACACATCAAAGCCCCCGTCTCTAATTACAGGTGAGTTTTTCAAAAAAAAAATCGCCTTCTCCTCTCTTTCATTCTCCATTTCATTTTTCGCAAAAAAAAAAAAATTCACCTACATTTCCCTCATACATATTTTTTACCCTTCATCGCCAATTATAAAATTATAAAATTTCTATTTTCGACTTCAAATTTTAAAAATAAATTATTTTGCAAAAAAAGGAAAGACAGAAATTAAATATGGACCGTTTTTTGGATTAGTCTCGCCCTAAAAAAAATGTATCCCGAAAAAAAAAAATGAAAAAAAAAACAGAAATATTTATTTCTTTAATTTCGAAAATTCGAAAGAAAATTGTAATTTGAAATTTATTCTAAAGAAGGGCGTAAAAGTGGAGCACGTAAGGTACTTGAATTTTTAATAATGATATAAATTTTAAATTTCGTTGCAAAATATCTTCTTTTCGGTGAATGTGTTTTTTTTTGTCACAGTTTTTAATTTTATTTTTTGATTTGAAAAAAATTTTCGATAGCGAAAACCTTCAATTTCTCTCCGAAAGGGTTGTGAATGGAGACGATTCGGTTTCCTTCTTTTCGAAAATACTTTCGAAATCAATAATCAGTGATCCCTTTTTTTAATCTTTTATTCTTATTTCCAATTGAAACAATTTGAAATTAAAATAATTTTTCAAAAAAGAAAATTTCTAAATTATTTCAATTCGTGTCCAATAGTTATTTATTTTTTTTTTTTTTTTACTTCCGGACCTAAAAATAGTATTTTTAGTTTTCTTTATTACCTTAAAATGAGAAAAAGGAGGAAAAATATCTAGACAACTTTTTACGAGCCTCCTTGAACCTCCTGAAAAGTATCTCAAGTAGTTGTTTCTTATAAAGATAATCTAATTTTTTTTCTCGCGAATAATATACATATATAGCGAAATGTGAGACGGCGAATATATAAAGAGCTTTTTTTATTTAAAGAGGCTGTTCTTTTTCTTTGAATATACATTTCAAGCCTCCCACATATATATATATATGACAGAGACAGCTCTCTTTATTTTTCATTTGTGCCAACAAATCGATGCTCGCGACTGCCGCATAAAGCACAATTTTTCTTTTTCCCATACCCTCGATATTATTTTTTCCTTTTTCAATTCCCAATTATTTTTTTTACACATTCAACAGGTGATTTTCAAAAATGAAAAAAAAGAAAATCAAATTTAAAAAAACAAAACTATGTCACAAAATGACATTTTTTATCATATTCCTCTAATTTTGTTTCGTGTTTTAATTTCATTATCAAAGGATTTGACAAAGTAGATGGAAAATATATTTTTCACCCTTTCTTAATTCTATTTTTAAAAATATGACTTATTGGAAATTTTTTTTTTTTTTTTCTTTTTTTTTAGACTCGTTCACGATGTTATGGTCGACGATTCGCCCACCTCATCACAGGGAAGTGATGCGGATGTTGGCGGTAGATCTTGTCGAGATGTCGTTGATTCTGAGGACGAGGATGTTGTCGTCATTCATAGGCATCAAAATCAAAGTGGCCACAGTTCACCGGACAGTGAAGTTGAATTTGAACATCGATGTTCAATAGTCGCTGACAGCGATTTTAGGTAAATATTTATATTTTTCGCAAAAAAAAAATTTTTTTTTTTAATTCCAATTTTTTTAAGTAGATAAATACTTAATATTTTTTTCGAATAAATCATTCAATATTGTTTATAAATTTATAAATATTATAATTACAAATTAATAAATAATATTATAAATATTATATAATATTTATAAAACAAAAATATGATAAAAATATTAATATAGAATATTAAAAGATGTTTAATTTTTTTTATAGTATTTATAAAAGTAGAAAAAGTTGATTAGTAGGAAGTAATTTACTTTGGAGAATTTGTAACCTCATTTTGAATTTTAATAATCTATTTTTCTACCGTAAAATGTAATATTGCAAGTTATTACTAGATTGTTGGAATCTGAATGCTAGATACCCTAATGATCTTAAATATTGACCCTTCTTCAGAAAATAATCAAATAGTTCTGAAGAAAGCAATATCCATTGCATTAATTCATTTTCTCATTTTTCAAATTATTGAACTGTTAATTAATTTTCAATTCGGGATTTTTGTAACACTTTCCAATTGAATTAACAATTAATTAAAGAATTACAGTTTAATAAATAATTAAAATAATAATTTAATTAAATAACAAAAATCAAAGCAATAAATTAAATTAAATAACAAAAATCAAAGCAATAAATTAAATTTAAAAAAATCAAAGTAATAATTTATTTATTAATTAAGCTTCAGCCTTTCGGCCCAGAAGTGGACTTGGTTTAATAAAAAATTAAAAAAATATAATCAAAGTAATAATTAAATTTTGAAATAAAAATCAAAGTGAAAATTAAATTTTTGAAATAAAAATCTAATAATTTTGGAATATAAGAAAATTTTTTGGTGAAAAAATATCGAGAACCATCTGATTGAAAAAAATTTTTTTTTTCCCGCATTACTATGTCTCACGACCTTTTCTTTAGAGCATGATAAGTAGTTAGCTGAACAATTCGATTGTTCTTCGGTGATAATAGCTTGTTCGATGGACTGAACAGCAGAGGAAGATCAATCTATGGTCCAGGACTTAATGGCAGTCTACGAAATGGTAGTGAGGGTCGCGACAGTGTTGTCAGCGATGTTGGCGATTCATGTTCATCATTGAGTTCCTGGGCAACACCCGAGCATCGACCCAATAGCGGTGGTATGGAACGAAAACGTCGAAGACTTCCGGAAATTCCTAAAAACAAAAAAGGTTAATTAGTAAAATAATAATTTTTTTGGGGAAAATTATTTTTAATTTTGAAAATAAAAAAAAAATAATTGTTTACTTCAGCTTTTGCAAATACGGGTCAAATGTCATTGGCAGAGGAATTGGGAGCTGCTGCCGCGGCTGCAGCGGCAAATTCATCATCATCATCATCTAGACATCATTTGATGTTGAGAAAATCACATAATCGATTACGTCACGAGGATAGTTCACCGGATAGCGAAAGAATGGCAACTGATAGCGGTCATTCGACGGCTCATTCACCTGACAATGGTCCCAAAAGTGTATCGCCAATTCCCTGCAGTACACTTCAAAATATTGATTCTGTTTCACCTGACAGTACACCTGGTAAAAAAAAAAAAAAAAAAAAAAAACGAAAAATATTATTTCTCGAAAAAAAATTTCCAATTTTTAAACAAAGAAATATTTATTTATAATTCTAAATAAAACTATAAATAAATATAAATGTATATAAAAATTTTTATATTTTGTTATTTAAAAAAAATTAAAACCTTATTTTTGCAGGAAGTGTAGGTATACCGTTTACCCAACTCGAATTATTGGAAGCAACTCATAGAGGTTTACATAAATTTGTCCCTCGTCATCACGATGAAATTGATCTTGAAATTGGTGATCCAATTTACGTACAGAAAGAAGCTGATGATCTTTGGTGCGAAGGTTGGTGTTTTCTTTTCCTTGGAAAATTATACTTTTATAATTTCTTTCATTTTCTTTTTGTAGGTGTTAATTTAAGAACCGGACGTCAGGGAATTTTTCCCTCTGCCTATGTGGTTGACATGGATTACAGTGATTTTGATCCAACGGCACCAAAAGTAAAAAGAGAACGCTATCTTTTGGGATATTTAGGTTCAGTTGAAACATTGGCACACAAGGGTACAAGTGTCGTTTGTCAAGCTGTACGAAGAATTGTTGGAAATACATCTCAATCATCTCCCAATTCACAAAGTTGCATTCTTGAAGTTTCTGATCAGGGTCTTCGAATGGTTGACAGAAGTAAACTTCCCGTATGTATTTTGAATCTGAAACATTTTTTTTTATTAATAAATTAACATTATTATTAATATTCTTTATAAATTAATATTATTATTAATAATTAATTATTAATTAAATTTTTCGTGTAATAAATTGCAATAAATTTTGAATTGTCTTTTTTTTTTTTTGCAGAAAACTCGAGGCCCTTGTCACGATTATTTCTATTCATTGAAAAATGTATCGTTCTGTGCATTTCATCCCCATGATCATCGTTATCTTGGTTTTATCACGAAACATCCAACTTTGCAAAGGTTCGCTTGTCACGTATTCATTGGTCAAGAATCAACTCGACCAGTTGCTGAAGCTGTCGGGTGAGCTAAAAAAGAAATTTTCAATTAATTTTAAATTGCAAAAAAAAAAAAAAAAAAAAAAAACAATTTCAAATTCGTAAAATTGCAAAATAAAATTTATTATTGCAAAATTATTTAAATATTAATCAAAAATACAAACAGAAATAAAAAATACAAATGAAAAATACAAACAGAAATAAAAAATACAAATAGAACCAAAAAAATACAAATGAAAAATAGAAATAAAAATAAAAAATACAAATAAAAAACTACAACTAGAAATAAAAAATAGAAATAAAAAAAGTATTTTCCAAACGTTTTGGGAAAAATTTCAAAATATTTAAATTTCAGACGAGCCTTTCATCGATTCTACACCAAATTCATTGAGACTGCTTTCCCAATAGAGGATATCTATATTGAATAAGAAGCCTATATAGAGATTGATGTAGCTGACTACAAAATTCAAGAGACGAAAAAAAAAAGAAATATCGTTATCCTATTATTCCCACCCTTTGTAAATAAATCCCTCAGCTGTAGATATTGAACTATTAAACGCGAATCAAACATTTAAAAATGGTGAATAATATATATATATATCTTCTATAAGGTTGTAATTAAAAAAGGGACCGACAGTGCAATTTTTTTTCATTCATAGTATTATTTTTTTTTTTTTAAATTATATGTCAAAAAAAATATCTCGTTACTATTATTTACTGTTAAATTTTTTTATCTGCATATTTAAAAAAAAATTTTTAATAATATATTTTTACGTTAGCGGTCAAGAAAAAAAAGAAATTCTGCATGAAAAACTTTTTTCAAAAAGAAAATAGAGAGAGAGAAAAAGAACGGACCTACTGACGCTTTTTATTGTCGACGAATCGGTTTGAAATTTGTATATTTTTATATTATCTGCGAGAATCATAAACTCTCTCATGCTATAATTAAAAACAGATTTTATTTCTTTAAGTCCTTCTCTTAAAATTGAAATCTAATTTTTTTATTTTTTAATTCAATAATTATTCGTTTTAGAAAATTCGAAAAATCTTTAAAATTAATTTTAAAATCCCCCCCAAAAGGGAAACAATTTATTTATTTATTTATTAATAAATAAGAGGAAAAATAAACTAATTTTAATGATTTGTACATATATATTTTCAGCAGCAATATTTACAAAAATGATCCGCCTCTACGAAGTCTTCAATAGCTCAGTCTTGACACAATAACTAATAACGCATGTAGGTCAAAGACCTCCGATCATTACAGCAGAATCCATATTACATTATTTAAGATTATGAATTAATTTCATCATTTAAAAATTATGCTTGTAAATACAATTTACTCTACTTTTTTTTTTTTTTCTTTTTTTTTATTTTTCAAGTTCCGTTTAAAATATTATAAAAGAACTATATATGGAGCTGTTTCCGCTCTTGCGAATCAGCGTGGGCGTGCTTTTTTTTTTTTTTGCAATTTCGTTAATTTTTCTTTCATTTTTTATTTTTTTCGTCAATATGACGTTTTTGTGGGCGCAATAAATATATAAGAAAATATGATCTGGTGTTTCTTTTTTTTTTTTTAAAAACAAAAATCGGAACAGACAATTTTTTTTTAAAACGCTATTGCACAAGTTCCAATATTCCGAAATTTGCGCACTACATCAATTTTCTTTTTGCAAAAAAAAAAAAGAAAAATAAATTACACTTCAAATATATTTTAAGTTCGTTTTACAACACGCACGGCAATCTTAATTATTATTTTTTACATTTTAAGAAATGGATTTCTGCATTCTTAAGAAAGATCACACATGACAATAACAAAAGAAAAAAAAAAAAAAAACGTGCGCATATAAAAAATTTGACAGTGATTTTCTTTTTTTTCTTTTTAGTATAGAAAATAAAATTTGTAATACTGATTATTTTGCAACTATTCAACTGAAAAATTCATTAATTAATGCAAAGGTTTTTAAATTTTTTTTTTTGTCGAATATTTGAACAAAGCGAAGTTCTAGCCATTCTAAACAATTATTATTATTTAATAATCAGCAAAGAATATCCATTGAAAAATATTTACATTTCGCTTTCGCAGTATTTACAAGGAGGTAGGAAGCGGCTTTTTTTTTTTTTTTTTTCTTTTAAGGAAACGATCGCTCGTAGTTACAATTGTTTGATTAATTAATTTTTTTTGTCAAATTTGCGATACTTTCAGCACGCCACGCGCCCTTAAAGACGCAGATGGGAAAGGCTCCTCGATCTTAATTTTTCAAATATTCAATTAGTCATTTTTTTTTTTTCATTAAATAGACTTTGAAAGCGGTATCAGTAAGGTGTGTCGAATACTTTCGATTATTAAGGTCTGTTTGATTAATAATAAAAGAAAAAAATTTTTTTTTATGATACAAATTTTATAACACAATTTTAAATAAAACTTTTCCAAAAAAAAAAAAAATAGTATTTCAAAAAAATTATCTGCGAATTAATTTTGAAAAATTAATAAAAAAAAAAATATTTTGAAATTAAAGTTTTAATTATAAAATTCTTAAAAAATTAATTTTCCCTTCTATTTTTATTTCTTTTCTTTCATTAACATTAACAGACACTTAAAACTGACCACAACCACGGATTTCAAATTATGGTAAACTTAGGCCCGTTAATCGAAAATTATTTCAAATGAAAAATAAATTTTTACTGAAAAAAAAAATTACAAATTTTTGTCCCATTTGAAATATTTCGACATATTTGAAGAATAAGAGAAAGTATATGTCTTTTCTACCGGGTTTTTAGTTTTCTTTTTTTTTTTTTTGTCCCTTTGCAAGACTTCAATTGCAATAGTTGAATTTTTCGAGTTTTTTTTTATGATTGCTACAATTTTTTTTCAAAATAAACTCGAAAAATTCGAAATTCAAAGAAAATCGCTATTCGCTGGATTATACAATGAATGTCGCATACATTAAGAATTTTTGTTTTTTTTTTTTTTTTTTTTTTTTTTTTTTTTTTTTTTCATTTACGTCACATTCAGACTGAAAGGATTTTTTGTAAAAATCTTAACAAACATCTGAGTCATGCAGGTTTTTCATTGTGAGAATGTTTTCTGTTTCTTATATTTTCTAATATATATATACATATATATGAGAAAAGAAAAAAAAACCATTCACAAATCCACAATCAACGATGTATATATATAAAATATAATTAACTAGAATAAAGATCTCGAAATTTTTTTTTTTTGAAATTTTCTTATAAATTAGATAAACAATTCATTAATGAGAATATTAACATTGTAAATTCATTGAATTCTTTTTTTTATAAAAAAAAATAATAAAAAACATATTTTTAGAAAAAAATGTAAATAAAAAAAAAATTACTTTCATTACATAAAGAAATCGTGAGTTTTATAAACTTCGAAATCTCTACTCTAATAAGTAACGTATTTACAAAGTAGATAAAATACAAATATATTTTTAGTTGCACGACATCGCTGCAGGATGTTAAATATTATTTTTGTTGTTGTTTTTTTTTTTTTTTACACTGTAACAATGCCACTGGGAAATTGTCATACAATATATCTCGTATTTTTTTTTCTAAACAAAAATGATTGCCATCGAAATTAACAATAACCACAGTAAATTAATTTTGTGTTATATAAGAATTAAATAAAAATTTAATTAATCAAAAAATTATATTTTTGAAGTTTTTTTTTTTTCAAATTCCTATTTTTAATAGCAACAAAAATCGTTATATAATATCTTTTTGAGATTTTTTGTCGCAATTTGTAATTTTAATTTCGTCGTTACGAGAGAGAATCATATATATATATATATTTTTTTTTTTTAGATATTTTGATATCCTTCTTTTAAATATAATTTCAATCTTTAAAAAATATTTACCATAAAATTAATTTTCTAGAATTCAGTTTCTTTAAAGGAATTCCATTTTTAGATCAATAAAATTAATTGTTATTGCAAATATACGCAAAAATATTATATATACATTAATTAATAATTAATAATTATTAAGCTAAAAATTATAAAGCCATATTTCAAAATATAATAGCTTTTAAAAGTGAGCAAAACTTTTTTTTTAACCCTTCAAAATTTACATAAATGTTTTTTTCAAAATTGTCATTTATGATTCCAAAAGGGTTAACAATCCAAAAAGTCAAAGTAATTTCAAAATTTTTTTTTTTTTTGACGTGACGAATTTATCAACAACAACAATAGTTTCTTATAAATTTTTCTTTATAGCCAAATATAATTCTAAATAAACAAAAAAATAGTCTCTATATAAACAAAATAAAGATTTCGAAAACAAATTCAATTTTTTGTCAAACGTCAAAAAAAAAAAAAAAAACGAATAATTTCTTTAAGAAATAATAAACAATAAAATTATTGCTGTTTTTTTTTAAACAAAAAATAATTCGAATTAGTCAAAAATTACTGTTATTAAAGTTTCTTATCCCGCAGTAGTCGTGCTCTATACAAATATTTCCTTAATTCTTTTAGTGTAAGAATTGTAAAAAAAAACCAAAAATATTGCTATATTTAAAACAGCCTAAAATAAATTACATTAATAAATAAAATTGAATTTTCTTTTCTAAAAAAATAAACTTTTCCGTATTGTTGAAAAAAAAAAAATTTAGAAAAATCTTCATTAATAACTTTTTGTAATTGCAATTGAAAATTATTTTCGGCTGTTTTGTAAATAATCAATATTTTTGGAACTGATGGTGTTAAATTGTACGTTAAATTGTAAATTTCTTTTTCTTTTAATAAGAATTATGCACAATCTATTGAATTTGATTATACAGACAAAATTTTCATAATACGACGAGCCAATTATTGAAACGGTGGTAAAAACAATCCATTGCCTAGCAAAACGTTTTTTTTTTTTTTTTTTTTTAAATATTGTAATCAAGTCATGGGCAATGTTATTTTCTTCAAATAATATTCCACTTTAATAGAAAATTAAATTTCTTCAAAATTTTCAAAAAATCAAATTTTTGTTACATTTCTCTTGTAACATTTTTATATATTATTTATAAAAAGAAACACCTTAAGCTAAGACTGTTTTTCAAACATTATTATTTTCATATATAAAATAATAAGAATCACATTGAGATATTGCCATTGTTTTTTTTTAAACTGACGTTTAAAATAATATTTCTATATAAAATTAATATATATTTATATATTATAAAAATAAATTATTACTATTGTTATAAAAAAAAAAATTAACTAGTTACTTAATTAAGTAACTAAATTATTCCCATGACTGATTAAATATTGTATTTGAGAACTTTTGTCTCGTTAAAAAAACATCCACCGCAAAAAGAAGTGAGTCTTTAACAGGACTCTTGATAAAAACTACAAGAAGAAAATTTTTCAGTTTTTTAAATATTGATTCTCTCACTTTCATTCACGATCCATTTAACGACTTTGAGATCCCCCTTTTCTTTTTTTTATTACACGTTATTCAAACTTTTTCTTTAAAATAGGAAATATTTACAAGATTTTTTTTTTTTAATATTCAACTGTGACATAGTATTTTGTTTTTTTTTTTATCCATTGAAAGGATGTGTGTGTGTGTGTCATCGTCAACAGATTTTTTTTTTTCTGTTTAACGCGTTTGTTTGTTTCTTTTTTTCTATTTCGACTAGACACAGTGTAACTTATGGCGTAATGAGGGCATTGCACCTTTTCCTTAATTTATGCTGTTGACTTTTTTTTTTTTTAATAAACTTTTTACAACTTTGATACTCACAAAAGTAACAACGTTACTACTCCGCGAAGCTTTCTTTGAAAGATTCAATTTTTCTTCTCTTCTCTCCTTTTTTGCGGAATAACACTTTTTTTTTTTTTTTTCTTTAATTTTGCTATCGTTTCGATAGTCTCTTTTTTTTATACAGGTCAACTGGGACTTCAATTAAAACTTAATTACTGGAAAATTTTCGTCACAAAAACTTTTTTTACCACCTAATTGACTGAATGTTGTGGTGCTCTTTTTGCAATGTTTTTAGTAATTGCTTTTGTACCTTATGATCCGCCTGAAATTAAAGAAAATTATTTTTTTTTGCGAAAAAGAAGATTTTTTTTTTGAAAACATTAAAAATATTTACCTGCAACTGGATTAATCTGTCTCTTTGCGGTTGAAGAGCGGGATTATCTAAATTACGTTGTATTGCATTAAATTGTGACTCGCACATTTCCATTCCGTTAACAAGTTGAAGTTGTCTCCTTGTTATTTCTTCACTGAGCACATCCTGAGAGGAAAAAATTCAAATGAATTTTAAATTTTACAAAAAACAATGATTTAAATATGATATTAATAAATAATATACAAATATTAATAAATAATATATAAATAATATTAATAAATAATTTAGAAAATAATATTAATATACAAAAAGGTAATAAAAATTTTTAAACTAAAGAAATTTTAATTATTGAGAGAAAAGTGTTATACTTATTTTATATAAAAACTAAAATACTTACATCGTTTACGATAAATTGCTCTTCACTCGATTCTCCAAAATTATCTACAACAGAAAAAAAAATCATTAACACATTATTAATTGTTTTAAAACTATTTCTTTCTACAATATCTGTTTTTGAACTTTTTTTGTTCTTTTTTTTTATCAATTTAATCTAAATTATAATAAAAAGAATTTCTTTATTTCATTCCAAAGTTCCTAAATTTTTGAACGTTCAAAAGAATTTTTTGTTACTTTTTCTAAATTTTGATTAAAGAAGAAAAAAAATTATCCACATATTAAAAAATGATTTACTTAATAAATGTTGAATTTATATTTTATTTCTCATTAGAATAAAATAATTTTAGAAAATATATCGAAGCGGAAAAAAAATTTTTTCCCTCATTTGAAGGTTCAAAATTTTAACTACATTCCAAAGAAATAAATTCTAGTTCCTTACTTTCAATATTAACCACAGGTCGCAAATTGTCAATTATCCTCATCCAATCTAAAAATGACAAATTTTATAATTCAATTTTTTTTTTTTAAACAATTGAAAATTTTTCAACAATAAAAATTCCACATCTTTCAATAAATTCACTTTGCAAATACAAATCTCCCACAATAGCAAAAAAATATTACTATTATTTTTCTAATTATTTTTATTATTTAAATTACCTGAATTTCTTTCTAAACCAGGACTCGACAGCATATCACTAGGAATATCCTGAAATCCCTGCAAATCCAAAAGTTCATCAGACGATTGCATAACGAATGAAGGATCAATTTGCGAATATTCTCCACTTGTTGAATCTTGTAAATTAATTTCCGAAACTTCAACGTCATTTAAACTTTTATAAAGATAAGTATATTGCTGTGTTGTACAATCACTAACAATATTATTATCAAAATTTGTTGGCTCCAAATTAACATCATCAATTGTTGTTGAATATGAATCTTTAAGCAGTCTTTTACATGAATTCACATTTGAATTACCCCCCTCATCAATCTCATCATTGTCCTCCTCGCTAAATCGTCGTTTTAAATTAATTTGTAATTTTCTCGATGTTCCTGCATTGTCGTCATTTAAAATTCTAATTGACGAACATGATTCAATATCAGCTGTTAAATTTTTCCCACCAATTGCATTTGAATTCATATCCTCGCTGTAACGTCTCTTTAAATTAATATCGATATTTTCACTCGAGCATTGTCCATTGAGCAAAGAATCCACTCCAATATTATCGGCAACATGTTCCAATTTTACTTCAAATGGTTTTAATTCACGTACAACTGATGTTCTAACATAGGAATTTGTATCTAATTCAGAAACAATATCGTCACTCGAATGGCAAGAATGTTCTGGTATTATTTTCTCAGCAATTGGCAATTCTGAAAAAAAAAATTAATTTTTAGTTCTAGTTTATTTTATTTTTTTTTTTTTTTAATACTCACTTTTTTCAGCAATGGGAGTTTTTGCCTGACTCTCCATTATTGGACTTGAACAATCAAGTTCGGGAATTTTTTTATCTGGATAAATTGATTTTTTAACAGGTGTCGTTGTCGTTGATTTTGGACTTTTTGAACCTTTTCCCTTGCCACGGGAAATGTGTTCAATATTTTTAATTCCCATTCGACTGACTTGCTCGGAGGCAGGTGGTAAACGTTGGGAAAATATTGCCGCTTTATAAAATTGTGGATCGGGAAGTGGTGATGGAGCAAGACGTTCTTTTGTTAATGCTGCTGATGGTAAATCGCTTATAAGATTGCTAATTGCATCTTCAAGTTGCGCTGGATCTTCAACGCCGGCAACTGCATTTGATCCTTCATCATCTTCATCGTCTAATTCATCCTCCTGTTAAATATTTTTCAAAATTACTTTTTATTTATTTATATTTTTAATTAATTTTTTTTCTAAAAAAAAAATTGTTTTCACTTACGAGAGTTAACGCTAAATCACTTCCATCCTCTATACTTTTGTTTATTGTTGCTGAAAATCTTTTCTTCATGTCTTTCATAAGTTTCTCTCCATCTTCTCGTCTAAAAACAAAATTTTTCAATTTAAAGTTTAGTTCAATTTTTGAAACGTAGGAAAATTATTATTTTACTTACGACATAAGGGTATTGACGCAAACAAACGATTCGACGGTTTGAGTATTTTTATCAAACTCAAGATAGCCGTGCGTTCGTAAATAAATAAATTCACCGTTTTTTGCCACGAGCCTATAACATGAGTGCTCAAAACCTTCGCCTTTATTGTACACTGAAATTTTTAAAATATTAGTAATTAAAATAGTAATTAAAATATTAGTAAATAAAATATATTTACTAAAAAAGTGAATTTATTAAAAAAAAAAAATCTCACTTTGTCTGAGACCAATCATCGTCCATCGAAAATCGTCCTTGTGCATAAATGCAAATGCACTTTTACCGGAAACCTCCTCAGCCATATAGCCAGCAACTACCGATATTCTATGATCGCAAAAAATTATACGTCCATCAACCAAATGTCGTGTAACGTATTCATCTTTATCAGCCTCCAATAGTGAAAGTTCAGTGATTGTTCTCTTTTTCAACATACGAGCGATGCCAATGAAAATAATATCGTTACTCGTACCATTGTTTTCTACAAAAAATTAAAAAAAAAAAAAAAAAATATTTAATTAATCTCCAAGTGATTATCAACATTATTATTAAAAATTATCAATTGACAAGTTATTAATTAAATTGATAAAATTAATTTAAAAAAACAAAAATAAAATTAAAATACACAAAATTGTAAAAAACAATAAATAAAATTGTAAAAACAATAATAAATTAATAAAAAAATTCAATTGTGATTTCAAATTGAAGATTTCTGAGAAGATATTTTAAACGTACCTCGCTGCCATAATCTGTTTACATTTAAACCGGCATTTCTGCAGGCATTGGCGAGACAGAGACTGCCGGAAATGTGAAAACATTCATATTGAATATGTTCACGTCTAGACACAGTTCGCTGAGCAATACGAATGCTAAAGCTCCTTCTTTGCTCTTCTTTAAAGGAAAAATCGTCCGATGAATTTGAACTCTCATCCAATTGATCGCTCACATTCGAATTTTGTTGAGCGTCATTATTAAAACTAAAATTTTTCGTTAACTCCTCATGATCCTCGGGACATACATAATTATACAATGACTCGCCAAGCAATTGCGCCTGTAAAAAAAAAAAAAAAAATTAATATCTTTGGTAAAATATTTTTACTAAGAAAATTCGATAATGCATAATATAAAATTTATAAAGAAAAGAAAAAGAAAAAGGCCTGCAATGAAAATTGACACGCGTGCTGCAATTGAGATTCATTTTCACATTAGGTGGTCCCCTCATAAGACGACAATAAGCCTTGATTTCTAGACTCTTAAAAATAGTGGTAACATAATATTCATGTCTCTTGATTCTGTGAATCCAAGAAAAAAAAAAAAATCAAGACTCGTGCGAATCAACGTTTGCTCGTTATGAACTTGAATAATGAATGATCGTTATCTCTTCTGAATTTGGAGCGGTCTCTCATTCAGTGAGGCGACACAAAAAGACTTGAAATTTGCCAAAAAAAAAAAAGAAATCGAGCAAGAAAATTTCCTTAGAGAACAATTTTTATTAAAAAAAAAGGATTCTAAATTTAGACGTCGAAATTTGCAAATTTTGCTTTGAAAATTATTGAATAAAAATTCGATTCAGAAAATATTTAAATTTTTATTTTTATTTTCAAGAATTATTTTCTATGGAAAATATTTTTAAATATTTCAAATAATTATTTCAATATATTTCTTTCTATATCTCTCATGATAAGAGACACGGAAAATTTTTCAATATTCAAAGAAAAAAAAATAATTTCCGAAAAATTGTTTTTACATTTTTAGAATATTTCGATTTTTTATTTACAGAAAAAAAATTCCAAAAAAGAAAATTTTTTTTTGTTCGATCTCTAAAGAAATATTATTTTCAGTGTTTACTTTTTAAAAATAAAATAGACAAAAACAATTTTCATTTGAAAATTTGATCGCTTCGGATAATCGAAATTTTAATGTAAAAATTATCATTTAAAAAAAATATTACAAGTTCCCACTCGTTTTTTTTTTTTATGAATTTATTATATACGTAAATATTCATTTCCTCGTAAGTTTTCCATCTAAGATAAAGAATATTTTCCTAAGGCAGACAATTTCAAAAACAGTAAACTAAAGTTTACAGAAAAAAAAAAAAATTAAAGAAAAATAATTTTCATTATATTTTTTTCATTTAAATTAAAATTTTTTTAATTAAGATTTTCAATTTTTCTAAATTGCGTTTAGATCATAAAACGGAATAAATTAACCAGTAAATTCTATAAATAAATTCATCGCATTTAAATTAACAAGCTGACGTTGCTTCTAGAAAAAAAAAAAATTGACAGATTATATTACTTTTATTTTGCATTTAAAAACAGAAAATTATTTTTTTAAATTGCAAAATGTAAAATTCGAAAAAAATTTACTTTTTTATTTTTATATTTTTGAAAAGAAAATGGAAAATAAATTACAATTTTTTTTTTCTAAATTTGAAAAACTGAATAAATAATTTTAGAATAAAAATACAATTTTAAAATTTCAAAAATGAAAATAACTATGAAATTACAATTCGTTACAATTTATTATGAAATTCGATAATTTTTGATTTTTAATAAAATGTAGAATGCAATTAGAAATATATATATTATTAAACAACTGAATTAATCACGATCAAGTGTTTTTAAACCTCGATACAATTTATCTAGTTCCAAAATAGTCGCGCAATTAAACATAACAATATTTTTCAAGACATTATGACTCAATTACCCTTGTGCTCATTAGATTCTTTTTTTTTAATCTGATTAAAATGTTAATTCAACAATAATAAAAAACAAAAATCTCTCAAATATAATTTTCCGGAAATATTATCATTTTACCGATTTTAGTTCAAATTTCAATTAATTATATCTATAAATAAATAATTAATAAAAGTTTCTAATTAGAAACTAATTACTTTTAATTAAATTTTAAAGAAATCAATGTTAATTAAAATTTTGTTTATCATGAAAATTCAATAAGTATTATTAAAAAGGAAAACTCTAAAAATTATTCCAAAATTGATTCAAATTTAGAAAATTTGTATTAAAAAAAAAAAAATTACCTGGGCATGTCCTAATTGTTGTTCCACATGTTGACTGATATAAACAATTTTTCCTGTACTGGTGACAACAACGAAAAATCCTCCATTATCGCACATGCTCTAAAAAAAAAGAAAAAGAAATTAAAATTTATTTTTGCAAATCTAATAATCTAGTTTTTCAAAATAGTAATAAAAATTTCTAATTATTTTTTATTATAATTTACTCACATCAATAATAAACTGCTCAAGATTCATACAATTGAATCTTTGTGGAAGAAAACCGACCTTTCCTTGTCCAAGAGCTAAAAAAAAAGAATTTCAATTATTATAAATAAAGAAATAAATATTAATTAATAATATAATTATTTCTTTTATTTATTAATTTGAAAAATAATTTTTTTCTATAATTAAAAATTAAAATACATGAAATTCAAAAAAAATCGTTTATAGGCCAAAAATATTATCAATAAAAATCTGCATTAAAGCAAATAAATTATTGAGGAAAAGAAAGCAAACATTTTTTTTTATCAGTGTTCCCTTTTTTTTAAAACACCAAAATAAAACAAAAATCAAGATAAGGGATTTTTATTAATAATTCATTAACGAAACTTACTGTATGTATATCTGAGATAAGCACCAGCCAATCTCAAAATAGAGATCTTATCTGTTTTTCGCGAATTTCCTGCGACCATTGGCAATAGAGATGCCATTGTCGAGATGTTTGAATTCAAGTTATCTCGTCGTTGCTTCTCCGCCAAATTCCTCGAGGCTCGAGGGTTACTGAAAAATAAAAAAAAAAAAGAATCCCATTAATAAAAATTAAAATTACAAATTTTCAATATATTTTTAAATAAAATAACATTTAAAGAAATAAATAACGTAGAGAAAAAAATTTCTCGAAAAATAAAAAAAAAATAATAAATGAAACGCAACAGAATATTATTTTCAATAACGTAAATAAATTATAATTTTGCGTCTTTATTGATTCCTATACTTGTATATCTTGTATGCTTGTATTATGATTCTATTGCCCTTGATTGTTTCTCTTTTTTTTTCTCTAAATAAAATTCATTTTTTCCCGCCTCAAATATAGGCATCCAATGACTCAATCCTTAGACTTTTAAAGAAATGACAAAAACAGAATTCACTCAGGTAAAATAATAAATAAAAATAAAATAAAAATATAAAATTGTAAATAAGTAAAAATAAATATTAAGAAATTATTAAGTAGTAAAAAAAAAGTTGGATCAGTTTCAAAGTATGCGTAAATTATCCGACGACTTCTTTTTATAAGAACAAAGTTTCTATAATATCTTTGCCAAATACCAATACATTTTAATATAAAATTAACATTCATATATACAAAGTTAAAAGATAATTAAAGGCAATTTTTTTTATAAAGAGAAAAAGAGATATTAGATTTTTTTTCTCACGCGATTTTTCTTATCTAAAGAATTTCACGTAAAAGAAAAGAAAAAAAAATTAATACACTGAATTTTCCATGCCAACAAAGTTCATACACACACACACACACATATATATATATATATATATATATATATATATATATATATATATATATATATATTTACAATCATTTGATTTGAGGGTTAAAGGACAATAAAAAATAGTTGACTTGCAATAATAATAATCTTCGCTCAAGATATTCATAGAATGAAACTTATAAATATAAGATATATGTTGGATCTTGACCAAAGAACCATTTTTTGACAATAAACAATTGGTCTTTTTGGCCTGTCCCCTTTATGGATCCTGCGTATCTGGCTAAATGCCCAATTTTTACATTAATTTCTAAGAGTTCACAAACTCAATATTTTAATTGCAAATATCAATTATTTTTTTTAATTCATTTTAAACAAATTTTTAGGATGTTTTATTTTTATTTTTTTTTTAACTTTTAGGGTGTTTTACTATTTTTTTTTTAATTTTTAGAAAGTTTTATTTACTTTTTTTTCATTTAGGTTAATTTTCTTTTTATATTATAGGTATGCCTTAATTAATTTTTTTAATTATTAGAGCGTTTTACTATTTTTTTTTTTTATTTTTGGAGGTTTTATTTATTTATTAATTTTTTAAAAAAAAATTTAAGATTGTTTTATATATTTTTTATGCATTTATCAATTTTAGTTTTAATTTTTAATATGTTTTGTTTAATTTATTTAAATTTTTATGGTAATTTATTTTATTTTTAGGTTTTTTTTCATGTTTTCTTATTTTTTTTTTAATTTTTAATATGTTTTATTTAATTTTTCGGGTGTTTTATTTTTTTTTAATTTTTTAAGGTTTTATTTATTTTTTATTAATTTTTTTGATGTTTTATTAATTTTCAAAATGTTTTTATTAATTTTTTTTAATTTTTGGAGGTTTTATTTATTTTTTATTAATTTTTTTTAATTTTAGGGTGTTTCATTATTTTTTTCTAAATTTTTACGACGTTTTATTATTTTTTTTCATTTATAAATTTTAGTTTTTATTTTTATTATGCTTCATTTAATTTTTTTAAATTTTTATGGTGTTTTATTTAATTTTTAGGTTTTTTTTCATGTTTTCTTATTTTTTTTTAACTTTTAATATGTTTTATTTAATTTTTCGGGTGTTTTATTTTTTGAAGGTTTTATTTATTTTTTATTAATTTTTTTTAATTTTAGGGTGTTTCATTATTTTTTTCTAAATTTTTACGACGTTTTATTATTTTTTTTCATTTATAAATTTTAGTTTTTATTTTTATTATGCTTCATTTAATTTTTTTAAATTTTTATGGTGTTTTATTTAATTTTTAGGTTTTTTTTCATGTTTTCTTATTTTTTTTTAACTTTTAATATGTTTTATTTAATTTTTCGGGTGTTTTATTTTTTGAAGGTTTTATTTATTTTTTATTAATTTTTTTTTAATTTTTGGAGGTTTTATTTATTTTTATTAATTTTAAAAAATTTTTTTGGTGTTTTATTAATTTTTATGCATTAATAAATTTTAGTTTTAATTTTTAATATGATTTATTTAATTTTTATGGTGTTTTATTTTATTTTTTTAAGCTTTTTTTAATAATTTTTTAATGTTTTATTATTTTTTAAAAAATTTTTAATATGTTTTATTTAATTTTTTGGGTGTTTTATTTTATTTATTTTAATTTTTGGAGGTTTTATTTATTTTTTGGGTGTTTTATTAATTTTTTTTATTTTTAATATGTTTTTATGATTTTTTTTTCTAATATCTGGAGGTTTTATTTATTTTTTGGGTGTTTTTTTAATTTTTTTTTATTTTTAATATGTTTTTATGATTTTTTTTTAATTTTTGGAGATTTTATTTATTTTTTATTATTTTTTTTTTTTTAATTTTTAGAGTGTTTTATTATTTTTTTCAATTTTTAAGTTGTTTTATTTATTTATTAATTTTCTTTTTAATTTTTAGAATGTTTTATGATTTTTCTATAACATTATTTGATGTTTTAATTATTTTTTAAATTAATTTTTCTATGTTTTATTATTTCAATTTTTTTTCAAATCTTATTTTGATTTTTGATAGAAAAAAATGGAAATATCGCGTTTTTTTGTTTCAAAACGTATTTAAAAGTTTAATAAAATAAAAAAAAAAAGTGTTTGACCCTTGAAAAGTTAATGATGATAATAAATAAATTTACAAGAAGAAAGATTTTTAGAATCAATATATATATATATATATATATATATATATATATATATATATATATATATATATATATGTATATATCGAAACGTCACAGTGAATTGCAAGTACAACTGCCGGTCATTTGTCATCAATGATGATGATGACCATCATCATTTCGTCTCGCGTTCATTTTCTCCGGTGCAACTCATCACTTGCCAACTGGCTTTGACGCACACACAACATGTCTCTCAATATGGCCTTGGAAAAAAAAAATTATTATTTACAAGAGACGTTATCACTCGACTATAACCAGCAGCCGCACATCGGATAAATACGTAATAAAAAAAAATAAATACATATAATAATAATAATAATAATACCGTGATATTCAATTATAAAATTACAACAGCTTCAGTTCTAAAGGATTTACTTTTCCCTATGAAGTCATTTCTGATTTTATTAAATTAAAAAAAAAAAAAAAAAAAAAAAAAAATAAAATCAGGAATCAAGATTGAATAGTCGACGTGTGATATTCGTGTTATCGGGTTTTTTACCCTTTGACATGCGTGATGAGTTGTTTTCATTTTTCGAGAAAAATAACTGTCGAAGAACAATTATTATTTTGGTTATGAACATGCAATGGAGAATCTGTATATTGATAATGATAGTAGCTCAAATCTTGAGAAAAATATTTTTTTTTTTTAATTGCAAATCGGAGATTTTTTTTTTATTTTCTTTTTTTTCCCCTTTATCACAAGAAATACAACGATGAATCATTTTTTTTTCTCAATTTAAAAATCATTTTTTATCAATTATTTCGTTTGGTAAAATTTACCATATACTTTAAATTTGGTTTTGGTAAATTTTACACCTTGTTCAAAAAAAAATTGTATTCAAAATTTTTTTTTTCTTTTTTTTTTAATAAGTAACAGAAAATATCAAGGGGGTAGCGTCATAAACCCCTTGACGAAAAAAAAAACGCCCTCTTGTCGTTAAGGTCTCGACAGTTTCGATCCACATTCAAACCCTCTCTCTCAATATATATTTGGGGAGGAATACTTTTGTGAGGGTGTATAATCAAAAACAGGGAATGCGAAGGCAGGATCTGGATCGTTACTTTAGTCTGTCTGCTATAAAGGTCCATTAAGTTTTTTCTATTTTTTTTTTTTCTTTTTTTTTTACTATATCAGAGGGTCAAGGTTAACATTATCTGTCTTTACAAACCCAGACGCTATTTAAAATTAATTACCCACTTGGTAAAATAATTAAATTAAAATATAGAAAAAAAAAAAATTAATTAAAACAAATTTTTTTTCCATATAAAAATATATGGAACTAAAATTTTCTCCCAATTTTTAATTTTCCAAAAAAAATTATTTTAATATCCACTTAGAATAATTATTATACAATTTATTTTTCTTTTTTACAAACTTTTCACTTCGTCAATTACAAACAAAAATTAGAATAATAATAATTATTATTATAATTATAATTTAAATAAGTAAATTTTTATTAATATTTATTATCAAAAATCGGAACAAAAAAATTCGTTTGAATTATAATTTTTTTTTTTTCAGGAAAATAAAATCGTTATAATAGTATGTATTATAAAAATAGTATTTTCCGTAATGCTAAATTTAATTGAGAATTTATAAAAATATCGTTGCATTTACAAAATGAACATTGTACTTTCTGAATAAATATATATATGTCGCATGTTAATCGCGACTGATGATAAAATATATATATAGCAGATATCGTTTCTTGAATAGAGAAATATCAAAACAGAGCTACCTTGAAGTGTGTATATATCGCTTTAGAAACCCTGACCTCATCTAAGCCGTCGCACATACAATCTTAACTTCATCATAGATTTAAAACAATAGTTTACTTTTTTTTATATATATATATATATATACACAATACTATATTTTATTCAATTTAATTTATGACCTTTCGGTAAAAATATATATTTCTTTTGTAGGAGAAATTGTTATTAATAGAAATAAAAGTTCTATATAAATTTATATAAAGACTCTTTCAAATAAAAAAAAAAAAAAAAAATTTGAAACTCAAAAAAAAACCGCTTTGAATTTTTTTTTTTTTCCAAACAATACAAAATCAAGGTGAACATA